ATCCCAACACACATCTTTGCTTCGTACTTCTACAGTCACACACCATGAGTTTAATTACTCTCCACAAACTGCTCGTTGTTGACACAGCCCGGTTTGTTTCTACGTCTGTGCTGCAGAGCTTCACACCAAGCTGCGTTGACTTTCTGTAGCAGACATGGTGGGAAGGAACACAGCTCCACATCAGTGTTTTAGAAACGTTCTGCTGCATTTACAGGTGAGAGGATGACGTGACAAAATTATTCAAAGCATGTGAATCATCAGAAGTGATTGAAAAAAATCATGTTTTTATAGTTGTCTTTTATGCCTGCCTGGGTTAAACGGTGTGATTTCTTCTCTTGAATCAAGAAAACTTCATTAATCCACATTTTCGGGTCATCTGTCTGAAAGTTCTGAACACATTTTTGACTCTAAACAGGAGATCAAGACTGCAGCTTCACCATTTTTTAGCAAATTGGGTTTTTCTTGGTCTGAGCTCTACGCAGCGCTGGCTGCCTCGATGTTTGGCCACTGAAGGTTTCAAGCTGACTGAGACATCATTTATTTATGATTTGGAACCAACAGGAAACAAATGGAGTGAAATAAAAACATAAATATTTAGTTGAAGCCACAAAAATATGATTTTTGTTTGAAGGATTTAGTGAAAAGCAGAAGATGTGGCCAGATTCTTTCATAAAGCTAGAACTGTGATTTGTGTGTGAGGAGAAAAGGTTTGGACACTTTTCACGTTCCGTCTTCACTGGTTTCTTACTTAGTACGATTATTCAAACTTGGATAGAATAAGGTGAAGACTTTCCTCCACTTTGGCCTTTTAGTTACCTGATTTCTACGTTTACACAAGTCCACGTCCCAGCTGAAAACACGCCCTCGGCAGTAAGCGGGGATGCAGCTGCTAACGGGACATGAAAGTTGGTGTTTTTTGCTGCTGTAGCCTGGAAACAGCAGAGGATCCAGGCTCACCCGGATGGAGAACCGTCCCTGTTCAGTGTTGCCTGGCAAACTGGGGACAGGACTGGTACATTAGTCCTCCCCCACTCCACCAGCTCCCCTTCCAGACTCTTATTTTTGTGCCAAATGTGATCAGGTGTTTTGCTCATTTAAAAGTGAACATTAGATTAGTTGTAACATAATCTGTTCATTTAAAGCTCCATACACCTGGTAGTGTCAGGCTTTGCACTTTCATGTGTATTTTCTAAATAATGTATTCATCTCTGCAGCCTGAACCAGCGACATCACGCTCCACTGGCTGCGTGAGGGGAGCAGCATCAGGTTTGTGGTGCTGAACTCAGCCGCGGAGCTGTCCGGTCAGCACCTCCTCCAGCCCCCGCGCTCTCAGACACAACCCTGATGTTCACTTTCTGCTCTACACCTTTACAATCACGAAGTCAGATCCTGCTCGCGCCCCGCAGCTCCGCCCTGCCTCAGCTCTGTAACATGTTGCTAGAACTTTATCTGGAACTTGTAGAATGGTTTAGAGGACCACACAGACGCTTACCTATAGTGGTTATGACTGTGATGGCAAAGTAAAATGACCCCGCAAATTTCCACTGCACCCCGGCTCTGTGGGGCTCAGCCTCCATGATGATGCTCTCCAGTTTGCGGTAATCATCCTCGCTGATGTTGTATTTCCCCTGGAGCCGCCTCTCCTCGGCTTCCAGCTGCTCTTTCTCGCGCATCTCGAAGTCGGACTCCAGGGCGTCAAAGACGGCGGCCCCCACCAGCAGGTATGTGAACGTGCAAACAATCAGGGATAAAGTCCGCACGTTTTGCCGCTTCATGGCCAAAAGGAAGCGGTGACTGAGGGGTTCATGTCCCCTCGGATTCCCCGGGAAGGCGCAGCAGGCGTGAGGGAAGCCGCGTGGGCAGCGCCGGGAGGCGGGAGCGCAGGAAGGTGAGCTCAGGGAGCGCTGGACACCGGAGCCGGGGCACTGATGGAAGTCCCCCACCTTGTGATGATACCGGTGGCAGACCTCCAGATCCTGCTCCTGGTTCGCTGAGAGACACAACAGACTGCTTGATCGCCTGGACCAGGAGCCCTGCAGCCGAAAGACCCTGCGCAAAACCTGCCCAAACCAAGTCCTCCCTGTGCGCAGTGCCATCAACAAGCTGCTCCCAAGATTGCCTGTTGGTCTCTGTCCGCTGCAGATCCGAATAAAAGCTCCAAAGGCAAAAAAATAATAATCAAGAAATTGTTTCTCCCTTTTTTTCAAACCTCCACCTTCACTTTGTCATAAAAATGTCCCACAGCTCAACATCGTTCCACTTGTTTTTTAAGATTTCAGCTGAATAGCGGCATGTTCGCACAGACTTCCTCGGTGTTCACGCTGTCTTCAGCCAGGCGTCACGGGAGGAAGAAAACAGGGAAAAAATCTATTTACTTCCTGCGAACTCCAAACATCCTGATCCGGAGAGTGGCGGAGAGGAGCGACAAGTGATACTAAAATACTCAAATCCCGGAAAAATACATTTTTATAATAATAAAAATAATAAATCAGCTTTAAAAGTAAAATATCTTCAGCTCTGTTTCTGCATTATCTTTCCACTTGTAGAAAATACAAATGAATCCAAGAGAAGAATAAGTGGCAGGCAGCGCAGCTTCCGGCTCAAACAGGTTTCCTTACACGTTTTTAGGACGCGCAGAGGCCTGGACCAGGGACAGGTGCGGGATCCAGCAAGAGAGCGGATGAGACGCGAGCTCTGCGCCTCCTGTTCCGGCGCGTGTCTAAGGCTCCAGCCCGAACTAGCTGATCACTTTCAGCTGGTTTCTATTCAAAGGAGGGATGTTTTTCTTTCCCTTTGAGCTTCTTGGTGTCACGAAATCTCCTCATGTTTCCGTCGCGATCCAGACCCGAGTTTAAACTCGCTTCAGGAAGTAGTCCTCTCCCCTGGCGCGCCCCCCTCCCACCACGACCACTCCTACTCGCCTTATGGACGGAGAAGGTCAACCAGAGCTCACACGGTCACATTATAGGACTCAGTGTCTCACAGCAAGGGAGGGGGCGTCTCTGTCACGTTGCTGTCCATGGTGCTGAAGAGGGGAGATGCTTGAGTGTAAAAAAAATTAATGAAACCCGTGTGTGTGTGTGTGTGTGTGTGTGTGTGTGTGTGTGTGTGTTTGTGTGTGTGTGTGTGTGTGTGTGTGTGTGTGTTTGTGTGTGTGTGTGTGTGTGTGTGTGTGTGTGTTTGTGTGTGTGTGTGTGTGTGTGTGTGTGTGTGTGTTTGTGTGTGTGTGTGTGTGTGTGTGTTTGTGTGTGTGTGTGTGTGTGTGTGTGTGTGTTTGTGTGTGTGTGTGTGTGTGTGTGTGTGTGTGTGTTTGTGTGTGTTTGTGTGTGTGTGTGTGTGTGTGTTTGTGTGTGTGTGTGTGTGTGTTTGTGTGTGTGTGTGTGTGTGTGTGTGTGTGTGTGTGTGTGTGTGTGTGTGTGTGTGTGTGTGTGTGTGTGTGAGCATGCAGAGAGGCATAGAGCAGTACATATTACATCCAGTTGGTTGAGTCCATGATCAAGAATTATTAAACATAAATTTTTCCATAACATTCCCTCCTGTTTATCCGAATAGGATAACCAAACAAAAGGAAGCAATGAAAAAAAACAAAACCAAATAAGGAAAAATAATAAGAAGCAAAATAATGAGGAATTTCATCCACTTCCATAACTTGTCGCCACTAACTAGGAAAGTAAGTAAGTATGTAAAAGTTTATTTATAGAGCGCCAAATCAAGTAATAGAAAAGGGGTAAACCAGGAAAGGTGATCATCTCAGTAGTCACAAGGCCCAACAGGTTACAAATCAATTCACTCAAGACAAAAGCAAAACTAAATTGATGGGCATCAAAACAAGAAAAGTAATAAGTAAAGTAATAAACACTACGATCAGATATAAAAGGTTCAGAATCAACACTATGAGGTAGGCACACAGCATGAAGTGCTGCAAGCATTGACAATGCGGATCGTACTCTCAATCCTGTTAACTTGTCCAAAGAATCATTCCATACAGAGTTCAATACAAAAATCGGCAAAATAATAAGAACAAAAAAGATCATAAACACAAATAATGCAAACACAACTGACAAAAACATCTTACAGCCGTACACAGGGATCGGCTAGATCAACGCAATTATAACCATAAGAAAAGCTATTTCATACGTATTGAAATGAATTTACTGTGATGCACAATTCCACGACTTATGGCAGTTCCTGTAAGGAGATTGGGAAGGGTCAGCAAAACCAGATAATACACAGAAAACATCAGTTCGCTGTGTTGAAACATCAGGTGAATTTAAATCAAAGCTCCAAGGTGCAGACGAATCCTTCAGTGAAGGAGGAAAATTGAAGGTGTAATATTAATTTTCACAGCTGTAACCATGGCAGAGCTGAGGCAAACCAGGCGTTCTTCATCAAAGGGCTTGTCCGTAGACTGGGAGTCTTGGTTGGAGAATAGGTTAGAAAGTCAGAGTCCTCTTCCGATGATCAGGGTGGTTTCAGTCTTGGGATGAGAAGTATCTTAAAGTCCAGGTCCAGAACATGAAGCGCAAAGTTCAACTTCTGAAAAGGAAGACTTCAGGGTCCTTCCGTGGCGTGTCGAGGCGGTTGTCCAATTGTCAGGGAGCTGATCTTGTCCCCGAAAAGGTCCTACAGGTCTTTGACCGTGAAACCAGTCTGGAGATTTGGGTGCGGGTGCTTGAGGTAGTTGATCCTTTCCCAGCGTCTCTTCTTCGCCGTGTCCTGTTGTAGTTGTGTCCAAGGGGTCTTCAGCCGAGGTGGATGCAGGTTACGTTGTCCTGTAGTAGAGGCCTGCACTGAAGCCCTAGGCCCTCGGGTCGGGCTTCGGGCCAACGACTGTGCAATTACCTCGGACACGGGCCGGGTCGGGTGCCTTTATTTTTAATCGAATTTGTTTTAAAAAATTGAAACACTTAAACGCAGCAGTAGAGCCCTGCGCGGGACTGTTTTCTTCATGCCGCTGAATTTCTGACCATTACCGCCTGTGTGTTACACTCCCGCCCGCACCTGTAGCGTACATGTGTACTCCCGCCTGCACCCGCAGCGTACATGTGTACTCCCGCCTGCACCCGCAGCGTGCATGTCTACTCCCGCCCGCACCCGCAGCGTACATGTGTACTCCCGCCTGCACCCGCAGCGTGCATGTCTACTCCCGCCCGCACCCGCAGCGTACATGTGTACTCCCGCCTGCACCCGCAGCGTGCATGTCTACTCCCGCCCGCAACCGCAGCGTACATGTCTACTCCCGCCCGCACCCGCAGCGTACATGTCTACTCCCGCCCGCACCCGCAGCGTACATGTCTACTCCCGCCCGCACCCGCAGCGTGCATGTCTACTCCCGCCCTCAACCGCAGCGTACATGTCTACTCCCGCCCGCACCCGCAGCGTACATGTCTACTCCCGCCCGCAACCGCAGCGTACATGTCTACTCCCGCCCGCACCCGCAGCGTACATGTCTACTCCCGCCCGCACCCGCAGCGTACATGTCTACTCCCGCCCGCACCCGCAGCGTGCATGTCTACTCCCGCCCGCAACCGCAGCGTACATGTCTACTCCCGCCCGCACCCGCAGCGTACATGTCTACTCCCGCCCGCACCCGCAGCGTACATGTGTACTCCCGCCTGCACCCGCAGCGTACATGTCTACTCCCGCCCGCAACCGCAGCGTACATGTCTACTCCCGCCCGCAACCGCAGCGTACATGTCTACTTCCGCCCGCACCCGCAGCGTACATGTCTACTCCCGCCCGCACCCGCAGCGTACATGTGTACTCCCGCCTGCACCCGCAGCGTGCATGTCTACTCCCGCCCGCAACCGCAGCGTACATGTCTACTCCCGCCCGCACCCGCAGCGTACATGTCTACTCCCGCCCGCACCCGCAGCGTACATGTGTACTCCCGCCTGCACCCGCAGCGTGCATGTCTACTCCCGCCCGCAACCGCAGCGTACATGTGTACTCCCGCCCGCACCCGCAGCGTACATGTGTACTCCCGCCCGCACCCGCAGCGTACATGTGTACTCCCGCCCGCACCCGCAGCGTACATGTGTACTCCCGCCCGCAACCGCAGCGTACATGTCTACTCCCGCCCGCAACCGCAGCGTACATGTCTACTCCCGCCCGCACCCGCAGCGTACATGTGTACTCCCGCCCGCACCCGCAGCGTACATGTCTACTCCCGCCCGCACCCGCAGCGTACATGTGTACTCCCGCCCGCACCCGCAGCGTACATGTGTACTCCCGCCCGCAACCGCAGCGTACATGTCTACTCCCGCCCGCAACCGCAGCGTACATGTCTACTCCCGCCCGCACCCGCAGCGTACATGTGTACTCCCGCCCGCACCCGCAGCGTACATGTGTACTCCCGCCCGCACCTGTAGCGTGCATGTCTACTCCCGCCCGCACCTGTAGCGTGCATGTCTACTCCCGCCCGCACCTGTAGCGTACATGTGTACTCCCGCCCGCAACCGCAGCGTACATGTCTACTCCCGCCCGCACCTGTAGCGTGCATGTCTACTCCCGCCCGCACCCGCAGCGTACATGTCTACTCCCGCCCGCACCTGTAGCGTGCATGTCTACTCCCGCCCGCACCCGCAGCGTACATGTCTACTCCCGCCCGCACCTGTAGCGTGCATGTCTACTCCCGCCCGCACCCGCAGCGTACATGTCTACTCCCGCCCGCACCCGCAGCGTACATGTGTACTCCCGCCCGCACCCGCAGCGTACATGTGTACTCCCGCCCGCACCCGCAGCGTACATGTCTACTCCCGCCCGCACCCGCAGCGTACATGTGTACTCCCGCCCGCACCCGCAGCGTACATGTCTACTCCCGCCCGCACCCGCAGCGTACATGTGTACTCCCGCCCGCAACCGCAAAACTCAGAGAAATGATTACCTCACAATAAAAGAGATGTATTGAGTTTGCGTCCTCAACATGTCATTTTATAGGTTATCCGCTTTCACCGCAGCTCTGCGCTCCGTTTCAATCAAGCTGTACAGCAGGATTTCCCCTCGTAGCGATATTTTCTCTAACTCTGATTGCTTCATGCTATAGATCGCTGGAAAGCTGCTTTTATGTACTTTTATGAACCGTTGGAATTATTTGAATCTGATCAACCATTCAAAAGTTATAAAACGGAGCATTTTGGATGACAAACTCGCACGTCTCTGAATCTTTGTTGTGATTCGTTGTGCTCAAGACAGGGAATCCCGGTGGATACCGTAATGTACTGTATGTGCACGGAAAGCCCCATTTTTAATCTTTTCAGCACTTTTGGAATTTTAATGATACCTTGAACTAGAGCAGGGATCGGCAACCCGCGGCTCTTCCATCCATCTGATGCGGCTCTCTGTGCTTGTAAAATAATGAATGGATATTTAAATAAAAAGCTTTATATTTTACTGCATTAATTTTAGATCTGTAAGCTAATTCTAAATGTAAAGATTGTCTGCGTAAACCTGAACAGTTCCAACCCGGTCTTACTGTGAGACCGGGTTGACGCGTCACGCTTGTGCGTAATCATAGGCGCTTTCTGAGCTGAAGAGGATGTGAGATTCTGGGCTTCTCCTCAGACGGCTCCTGGATGTGTCGCCACATTGGAGACAGGAACAAGCACTATTCAGCCAAAGTTTCATCATCAGGGAACATTTTCTAAGTGACAAGTCGCTCTGAGAGACCGGGTTTGGAAAACACTCGCTTCAGTGGGAGGAACCTTCCCGCATGCGCTCTGGTTCTGCGACGCGCTCAGCTGTGCTGAGCAGTGTCCATCTCAGATGTTCAGATGGGAATCTTTTCTTGGGTGATTTAGCTACATCTGCGATGTGTGTAACGAATAAGATGTCAGATCATCTGCATGCGTCGGGGTAATTTTTTCTATTCTTTCTCCGTCAAAATAAATGGTCAAATACGGGAACTGTCCGGTCAACACAACCTGCTTTTAACGGTTCTGTTTTCTTGTGAAAATTGTTGCAAAGAGATAAAATTTAACTTGATAACCACCAGAGCCAGTGCGCCGTCGTCTCCGTGACGGTAAACGAGGGGAAAACAATGGATCGGATCCTGCTCGTCTTTTAACACATTGGTCAGGATTGACGCACTTTGTTTTCATTTAGTCGGTTAAAAAAAAGTCGGGCTTGGGCCGGGCCAGAGAATCCTGAAAACCTTTTCGGGCCGGGTCGGGCTGGGGCTCCACCCCCTCGGTCCGGGCCGGACACGGGCTCAGATTTTAGGCCCGTGCAGGGCTCTATCCTGTAGGTGGGCTCAGGGCGAGCCCCAATCTGTCATTTCAGTTCCGGTTCTAGTACCCCCTGAAATGCTGCTGGTCTCAGTTGTTCCATCAGGTGCTGAGAGGCGGCCCAAGTGCACGCCATGAGAGCGACCACCATCATCAACAATGTGGTGAACCCAGCAAGTTCGAAGCAGATCTTTATTTGACCTTATCTTCACCGGGTTTGAGAGACGGCACCCTAGTGGTGGCCCACCCCTCTGTAGCCCGGACTTTGTTGCCGCCCTAGTGGCGGTTGGTTGATAAGCTTGCAATAGGATCGATTAGTCCAAGATGGCCTCTCAGCAATCTTCACAGCAGTGGGAGTAATGAAGAGTACTTTGAATGGACCTCTGGCCGCCCCATCTATTTCGCTTCAGCACCTTCATCAGAACCCAACTTCCTGGTTTCACGACCTGTGGCGAAAAAGCACAAGAAAATTCTGGGAGATCACTGTTGATTTTGGATTGTTTTCAGCAACAATCATCTAATATTTAAGGTAATTCCATCCAGGTAGTGTAGTAATGTGAGGAAATCGTTATCAGCCTCCCCTCCTGTTGAGGCATGAGGCAACTCAGGGCTCACCAGAAACAAAACATAAACAAAAGGGTCCGATACCGGCAAGCTTTGCGCCAACTCGATGTTAAAAGTGGACCTCACATACATGTGAAAAAACACAAACACCCATTCCCAAGGAACCTGCAATTACTAGATCACGTCAGCAGAGGGCAGAGTTGTGCAACACAGTGTGTATAAAAAAATAAAACCAAAACAAGTAAACAACTAACAAAAAGCCATAATCCATGAAAATAAATTGAAAATAAACACAAAAAATGATTTGCATCATCTAGGAGTAACAGGAGAAACGGTGGTAAAAGAGCTGCGGCAAAAACTGAAATCCAGTGAAATCAAAAGAAGCAACCCATCTGGGAGAGCTTGTCAGCTTCCCCAACTAATAACAAAACAGAAATATCATAGAGTCCACGCGTTCATTTTCATTCTGCCAGAGACTTTCACCTCTAGTGACCTCGTAGTTTAATCTCTTTGCTTCCAGCACTGGAATCAACTAACAACGACACCAGTCCTAATTATAAAAATAATATTTCAAATCCACATGGATTCAGTAAGGTAAGGTCACTTCAGAGAACATCAGCAACATGCAAGGTCACTCAGTTATGCTGCTCAAATGATGTGTAAAATGTGTCAACAGGAGATAAATACTGTTAAATTAGAGCTGCACAAGCGGATTTGGACAGCAGAATTATCAAAAAATTAATAAATAAAACTCAGTAAGTTCAATTGAACAATAGATTTTTCTAAGAAAAATAAAACTCATTTGTCACATAGATTCAGCGAATGATCAAAAATAAAATAACTGATGGTGTTATTAGATACACACAACCCTAAAGGTGTTTGAAAAGATGTTAACCATTTCAGGAAGGGACATGACGCTCTAAGCAAAAGGAGGAAAAATAAAACAAACTAAGAAATAATTCATAAGTTACAAACGTGTACTTTGTGTAAAAATGGTTATACCACAGGAGCCTAGAAAGAGTTTAAGAACTAAAGGGTCAAGCAGAGGAGTCCAACTAAATGTGATAATGAACAACTAAAGGATTTATACTCGGAAAACAACAAAAAATAATCAAAAATAAAAGACTGACAAACATAAGAACTGCTAGATTCATATGTAATCAGGTCGTTTTCATGTTAATGTGACCATCACACAGCAGTTGTCAGGTCAT